ACTTCTACAGCACCCTACCGCCTCCCCAGGGGGCCCCTCCTCCGGGATTAGCAGTACTACTGCTAATCTAGTGAGGCCCAGCTACTGCCATAATACTGCATATCCATATGGCCCAATATTGGCCACTCCCTGGACAAAGTGGCAGTACTACTGCCAAACTACTGTAAGCCAACTACTGCCAAACAACGGTTGGCAGTACTACTGCCAAACTACTGTAAGCCAACTACTGCCAAACAACGGTAAAACATGCACGTTTATCCTAATGGCACCAAAGCAAACAAATCTTCGAGCATCTGATCATACGCGATTTAGGTCCAAAAATTAATTTTCTCTGGAAACTTGGCTAGGGGGGTTTTCAAGGGTGCTGAACACAGTGGTGAACTCGGTTTTGCACAAAAGTTTCAAATTTAGGGTATTTTGGGTAAAAAGCTGGTTTTTTCAAAATCCAGCCATAGAAACTTAGAAACTTCTACCCCGGGGCAATCTGGGGTGCTGAGCACGAATCTGGGCTCGGTTTTGCCTAAAAGACCGAAATTCAGCGTATTTCGAATTCCGCTCAAGTTTTAGCCAAAGAAACGTCTACCCCGGGGCAATCTGGGGTGCTGAGCACGAATCTGGGCTCGGTTTTGCCTAAAAGACCGAAATTCAGAGTATTTCGAATTCCGCTCAAGTTTTAGCCAAAGAAACTTCTACCCCGGGGCAATCTGGGGTGCTGAGCACGAATCTGGGCTCGGTTTTGCCTAAAAGACCGAAATTCAGAGTATTTCGAATTCCGCTCAAGTTTTAGCCAAAGAAACGTCTACCCCGGGGCAATCTGGGGTGCTGAGCACGAATCTGGGCTCGGTTTTGCCTAAAAGACCGAAATTCAGAGTATTTCGAATTCCGCTCAAGTTTTAGCCAAAGAAACGTCTACCCCGGGGCAATCTGGGGTGCTGAGCACGAATCTGGGCTCGGTTTTGCCGATACAGACCGAAATTCAGAGAATTTCGAATTCCGCTCAAGTTTTAACCAAAGAAACGTCTACCCCGGGGCAATCTGGGGTGCCGAGCACGAATCTGAATTCGGCTTCGAGGCAATCTCCATCTTCAACTACAATGCTCGGACAAAATTAGGTGGTTTCTTCCTAGGAATAGGTCCCTATCGGTTTCCAGAGCAAATTTTTGGACATATATCGGGTACTTACAATTAAAACATCGCAATATACAAAGCATAGTACAGAAACATAATACATTATGTCAGTAGATTGATGAGTTTTGTTAGTGAGAGGATATCAAATTTTAGAACATTGTACATATGTGTAAAAACTTGTTAACATTTTCCGAAGTACAGCAAATCATCGCATGGTCCGTTTTTCATTTGGAAAAGTAGCCGAAAGAACAGCAAACAATGTTGCTGGTACACAATTCCCGGGTATCTTCCGGTTCCCACATTGAAAGCCGAACCAGATCCCTTTCTTTTTTACACCAAAGGAGATGTTTCAAGGCTTCACTTTCTGCTACAAAAGTGTCTGTGAACACGACCAGTCCAAATAGGGAGCACCGTGAAGTTTTGATAGACAGCCTTGAACTGCATCCGGTGTGTTTGCACTATGTATCTGTGTTTCCGAAAACGCCTGTATCCGACATAGTTGTGCCCAAAAGGGAGAGGGAAGATATGCACCATAACGAGAAAAGATCCGGCAATACCCATGGCGAAATTGTTAGCGAGGCCTGAGCACCATGAAGACTGTTTTGGGGATCGATCCGTGCTCCTCTGCTGTAGCAGTTTCGCGGGATATCACGAAATGGATGCAGTCACAAGACGGTGGAATCGCGCAGAAAGAGAACTCGAGTTGCGGGCGTTCAACGTCCATTTTGAAAATGCGGTTCAAAACTGGTCCAGCTATCCATGGAAGTCGAAACTGTTTTAATCACAGAAAAACGGACCAGCGAAACACGTGTCTTCACTTCTAGGATGTGAGAAAATCGACCATTGAAATAGATGAGCTGAGATGAGACGAGTGTTGAGTGATCAATGTGCGATATGAACTGAGTAAGAATTTGTTATTTGTGTGCGGGATTCCAAGCCGTCCTTAAGTATTCAGTCGTGTGATGTTTGTGTTTGCTCAGGTCGAGAGGAATCAGCAAACTGCCTCTTCTAAAACAATCAATTTTTGTTGCATGGAAGTCTTTGTGGCAAACGATAAAGCAAAGCCTTACAGGGCGGGGCACGAGGCGGTCGTGTTTGGGGACATATTGTCTGATGTCGGCCCTGAATAATTAGCGATCAGTCAATGGTTTTGACTTGTTGAAGTGTACATCCTAATATTACTTCAAATTTTCATTTAGTGGAAACACCTACATAGCACGCGCGAGTGCACCACGCAGAATAGCTGCCCAACACAAACGCATGTCCTTTCGTGAGCGGAGTGCTCTAGCTCTAGCCGTATCGTTGTCCCCAAGAGTGAGCCAGAAGCTTAAAAAAATTGGTTAGAAACGCAATTTGCAGCAATCATTCTGCCTTTCTGCCTTACCTAGTGGGATTTTGACTCAATTCTTCTACACTGGCATCCAATTCTGGGGCATATAAGTTCAAGCCGTCGAGACAACACCCTGACAAGAAAGCTTAGACTTTTTGCAACGCTACTTTTAGCATCGATTCCAGTAAAACCGACCTATTAATGATTCAGCTACATCCGCTGGGAGATCCTTGAGATTAGGTTTCTTTTGATATTTACCGGACGTTCGATACGTGTACTCTTGTATATTATGTACAGGATTGCACGCCTGAAGCAGTAGCGGCACTAAACTTTGTGGCAATGGTAGCTCATTCAAGACCGAGCGGTTATAATAC